AGCTTTATTTAGCGGAGTTGTCTAGATGGTAGAAATATCAACATGTTTATATTCATTTACAGTCTTACTTCGCAAAAGTTGTTGCAAAGAGCAACAGCAAAGGACAATCAACATTTTTCGGTGTTTTTTCTATATTTTTGTTATAAATATTTTATTATTTTTTCTACATTTTATATAAAAATTTGCATAGCCAAAAAAAAAAAAATCCTGCATTTGTTCTTAAATTTGTATTTTCTTTTTAAATATGTAGTTTTATTTATTTTTTATTTCAGTCTAAATTTTGCATATTCAAAACATATTTTCTCATTTTTCTTACATTTTTCTATATATTTTTTCACACTTAAGCATTAAAATTGCATACCAACATAATCCATATCTATATATAATCCATAATGCGCATAATTTTTAAAACATAGCTTTGCTCTCATTTTAGTTCACATTATAAAGCACTGATATAACTATATTTGGTCTTCTTATAATTAGCTAAGCTCTGGTCAACTTTCACCCACTTCGATGGGTGATTTCTGTGCATTGTTCGCGGCGCCTGCTCAGCCTGTTGCCACATGGCTTAAATGAGTTTACGTAAAAGCCAAGTATGTAAGCAAACAATTAGCATAATCAGCTGCCGTAATGGACGGCAAATTGTACCAATTTTTATAATTTTTCCTATGCAAATGCGGCAACGTCTGTGGCTGTAGCTGTGGCTGTAGCTGTGGCTGCATCCCGACTTTCCAGTCGACGAAACATTATTGAAGCAAAAATACTCACTCGAAATGCGCAACATTTGCGGCAGGAGGCGACAGCAACTTCCGCGCACGCGAAATTTGTTGCACTTCCAGATGTCTATCGGGCAGATGCAACTGCAATTCCAATAGCCGTTCAATGCGTTGCAATGCAATGCAGCCCAGCTAGCTGGCTGGCTAACTAGCTAACTGGTCTCTTCGCATGCCAAGCACACGGTGCGACGGTGCGCCGGTGCGCCGGCTCGTTCATGAAAGCAGCCGAAATTGAAAGTTTTGCTCCCAAAGTGGATCGATTGGCCATTGCCGTCACGTTGGCCACGGGCAGATGGCCAAGATATCGGCCACTGCCCAGCCCTGCCCAGCACCGCCCAGCACTGCCCAGCCCTCTAGACTAGCTGATTGACCCGGTGGGCAGGCGGTCAGGGCCTTGAAGTGAAATGTGGTCAATGCATCTCCCATGACTCTGTAGCATCATCATTAGCATGAGCGATGAGCACTTCCTTGGCGACAGCACTACAGACCCCAAAAGAAATGTCGAATGCTGGAGACAATGATAGGCCTGCTAAAGCTCATAAACGGTATAATGATCTAAATGCTGTCATAACAATGGACCCATAAAACACTGCAACAACAACAACAACAACAACAACAGCAGCAGCAACAGCAACAGCAACAGCAACAATTCACTCACTCGCTCGTCAGCAGCAGCAAAATTAATAACTTAAGCGTCAGCCCGAAACACGTAACATTTTCCAACATTGTCCAAGCGTTGCAAGTGCCGCGGCTGCACAGTGGCACGAGATGTGTAGCACCTTGTCGAAATGTTATTTGTATTGGGGGGAATTTAAATATATTTAGGTTTTCTTACTAACATTGAAAACTTGTTTGAATAGAACAAATAATGCAGCTTAATTGATGTTTTTAATTGATTAATGAGCTGACAACAAAAACAAAAAAATAATCTTAATCTTGATCTTACTTTTATGCTTGTAAGACATATACACATTACAAACAGAATATTAATATTCGTTTTTTTTTTTTTTTTTTTTTTTTTTTTTGTATTAATTGTAATGTATTTACATATATAGATTCAAGGCATATGTCAAAGTAGAATATTTAACATAACTAACAAAAATTGTATATACATATATCATTTGACTACCATTTTATAGTTAGTTAGCTATATTATTTGCCTTTCAGTAGATATGTGATTTAGTAAGATGATAAGAATCCATTTTATATATTGATATAGAAAAGATTATGTCGGCGTAGTCACAAGCAAATTAGACAGGCAATAAATAATAATATAAACAAATTTAAACAATGCGCTATCCTTAACTATTAATTATAGTTAACGTTTCGTAATGTATGTAAACAAGTGTCATTTACTGAAAGCACTCAGAGAGCAACTGTTTGTGTCGGTTCTGTAACGAGTTCGTTCGTGATCGGAATTGTCCTTACTTTTTCGTTCTATGGTTTCCCCGTCTTTTGTGTATGGTATGAAATGAGAGGGCTCTGTTGTTGTTGTTATTTGAGTGAATTGAGTGTGTGCATGGGCATGTGAAAATGGAGACCGATTACATTGAGTTTTCGGAGTAGACATTTGCTTACACTCTGTGCCTCATTGGCCGAACGACAATCGTATCTCTCCCGAAATGATCGTGAGAAGAGCATCAAACGAACAAAACCGAAAAGAATCGAAGGCTCTAGCTCAGAGCGAAAGTGTGAGCGAGAGCTATAGCTAGATTAGAGCGAGAGCGAGAACTAGGGTGTGAGAGTGAGAGGGAGAGCGAGCATTAAACAGTCACTGTTATATGCTAAAAAAAATTGACAGCAACCACTGTGCACTGTCCCCATCAACATAGCGTCGCTGTCCGCTGCCGCTGCCACTGCTGCAGTTGTTGGCGCTGTGTAGCGGCTGCATCGCATTCACGTATGTTCGCATTGGCAAGGTTGTTGATCTTCACATGTGGCATGCCCAGTTGCCGTCCCGTTTTTAGTTTGCCGACATGCGAATATTGTTATTGTTTATTTATCTTTTCTTTTCTTTTCTTTTTTTTTCATTTTACTTTTTACTCCGCTGCATTGCCAGATTGCTGAGGCTGTTAAGTGTGGCAAATGCTTTTTGCCAGAATATCAAATATAAATCAAAGCACAAACTGTCGACTGGGCGACGGGCCACAATGAACAATGAACCCATTTCAGTCAAAAGCGAAATTAATTAGCCAGCATATTTATATTGACCACTATCGAAATTGAAATCTTAAGCTCGAGTTTATATATACTTGTATATTTATATATATACAAATGTATACAGTTAGAGCTGCTGCAGCGGCTGCTGTCCAAACAGTCTGATAAATATCCTCATAAATTTTGTGCAACTCTTTTCTCTCCATTAATTACAATGCACTTAATCAGTGGCCATGAAGCAAATGAAACTGAAACCTTAAAGCGCACAGACCAAACAATACAATGAAAATCCATGTTTTTCTTGCATTTTCATTTTCATTTTCTATTGCCTCGTTGTGCTTGAGATGTGCCACGGCCAGCTGCTCCGAGCTGATTGCGCTTTTATCTGAGCAGTGCAATGCGGCTGAAAGTGTTTAATGGCTAACAGCTTGGGCTCGTTACAAGATTTTTAGACAACATACATTTTTCGCATAACTGTAGCAATGCAATGCACAAAAGCAATAAACCGATCCTTAACTTATTACTAAAGACATGAAGAGTTGTATATGAAAATAAGTAAGCTAATCTGATCAAAACATGACAATAATTCATTTATTTAAGATAAATCTTATAACTTTGCATAAGTATATAATTTATTGCAACTTTACTCTATAATCGAATCTATACAGTTTGAACTATTTGCTTTAGAGCTAAGTCTTAGTGAAGGTAAACTCTAAACCAAAAACAACTATAAACTTATTTATTCAAATACATTAACGAAACAAGTGAAACATAGTATATATTATTGAGTCTAGATAAATGTAGAGAAAATGTGTCTCAATATTAAAGGTGAATGATATTATTGAGACACCTTTTTCACTGTATTTACTTAGGATATATATTAAATTTGTACCAAAATCAAAGCCAAATATTGAAATAAATGGTAGATAATGAAAATACTATTTTAAATAGTTTTTAAAATAATTTTTAAAGAAACTTGAATGTAACTATAGGTAAATTATAAGCAAATAGGAAAATGTTTAATGTGGAATATTATATGTAGAAAATAAATAAAACATAATTAAAATATTATATTTAGTAATTTTGCAGAATAATTTTTATAGGAATTTTAATGCAAAAATAATATAAAAATGTTTTATAGAAAAAGAGTACATAAAATTAAATATTAGTAGAAGCAAATAAGTCAAAAAAAAAAGAATGAATTTTAAAGCAGCTTGCCTTTCAATTTTGAACAGCATATATAGTATTAATATACAAAAAAGTGCAGAGAAGTAATAAATTTAAATACAGCCCATTGTAGACAAATGACATTTTTTTATTTATTTATTTTTTTTTTTAAGTACCAAATATATTCAAAGATGTTAAATATGTTTGAGAGCACTTCTCATTAGTTGTAATCAAACAGCAGCAATCAAATTGCCACTATGTAAGGTGCTTATCAGCTATCGAGCTAATAATAATTGACATTTGAGTGTGTCAGTCAGCAGGGGCTCCAGCTGCTGCATCCAGCTGACTTTCCTATCGGGTGCCACAACAATGACAGGCGCAATATATTTCATTGAACTGCATTTTCACTGCCGTTGCTCGATATGTATGTGTTTGTGTGTGTGTATGTGTGTGTGTGTGTGTGTATTTGTACAGCTTATGGCTTAATTGGCCAACACGAAATCGAAACTGTTTGGCTGGAACCAGTTTGGCATTTGACATTTGATTTGTGTGCGGCAGCTGCGCACGCGTCCCACCCGGCGTATGCGTTATGGTTAATTGTGATAGGCGAACATATCACGCATACGCAGTGCGTTAAGTAGCCGTTATAATTTGAACGTTGGAATCTGCTGATGGCAAAGCGAATGTCTCCAGCACAATTCCCTCTCCCTCACACACACACAGACACACACCTAAGCGCGTGCGCTCTCTCTCTCTCTCTCCCTCTCTCTGTGCGCATAGTATATCTTTCTCTGTGCTTTCGTTGGCGCACACATTCGCATAAATTTTCCGCTGTGCCGGTAAACGTCATTATAAAAGCCTCGGCACGCCAGTGCGGCACAAACAATTCAAATCCAGTAACTGACGCGCAATGATGTTCGCTTTGGCAACGCGTTGTCGGTCCAGCAGGAGCCAGCGCCTGCACCTGCTCCAGCACCTGTGCCTCTGCCTGGCCGCGTTCATGCTGATTGTAAGTAGTGCGACCGCCAAGGATCTTTACACAATTGGCCAACGTTGTTATTTTTTTTAATGTGTTTTTGTGCCACAAGTTTCAAGTGATTTTTTGTTTTTGTTGATGAGCAAAAGAATATGTGAAAATTATAAAAACAAAAGGCAAACAGACAAAAAGCCCATGGAACATTGATTGCATGCAAAGTTAAGAAAACCAAATGAAAGTAAAATTCATGAAAGTAAAATTCATGTAATAAATAATGAAACAAATTGCGGAAGCTCTGGTAACTTGGACGACACATCGAAGTATTAAGTTAATAACCCTAATGAAGTTAATCAAAACGTTATTTACAGTTTGAAATATGCGTATATTTTACATGTATATCATAAAAACAATCCAAAATATTCCTATAGCTAAAAATATTAAAAGCCGAACAGGCTTATCAGAATTATATTTATACCCTAAGCCAACCCAAAATATTCCTATAGCTAAAAATATTAAAAGCCGAACAGACTTATCAGAAATATATTTATACCCTAAGCCCAATGAAACTAGATAATCTGAATATTGGTTTTGTTTATATACGAGCTCCATGTATCACAAGCTTTAGTTTAGCTAGAAAAACATTCGAACAGGAAGAAGCATTGAATCCAGAAAAACATCTCCAACTGTTGTTAGCCTACTCGATTTCAACAAAGTTAATGCTAAGTTAATACCAATTTAATAGCAAGATTAGTAAGATGGATTCTATATAAAATCGAAACTGACATTAAATATGTTTAGCATTGATCAAGCCAAAATTTCTTGTCACTAGCGCAATATTTTATCAAACAGATATAGTTTTATTCTTACATACATATACCTATTATATATCTGTAATATTTATATTAGATTTATATATTTGTATGCCCTGAAGTCATAGAAAAAGTTTAATGTCATTCAAGACAGCCTGATTTTCGCCAGATGCAGTATATAAAGCTTATCTCATTAATAGTCAGTAAAATTTATTTCCTATAAAAAATACACCTTTAATATTAATTATATAATAATACTGTATTTAAAAAAAAAAAAAAAAAGGCCAAAAATAAGGTATAAATGAAATCAAGAATAAAAAATATTTCACTCAAAAAAAAAAAAATAATAAAAAAAAATATATTAATAATAATAATAATAATAATAATAATGTACAATTTTTATATTTTATACTTTTTAATTTTACATTTTATATTTAATTTCCAAATTTACATTTTTTTATTCTATATTATATATTTTAAATTATATATATTATATTTCTATTTATATAAACTCGTTTAAAAAAACACACACACAATTTCAATTTAATTCATGTATACTCAATACTCGATGAATGCTTAGGCTATGCTCATTAAAAATACTACATAAAAAATCAATATGCAAAGCACATTTATAAATTATATAAATTATAATATAATTAAAATAATATAATTTTCAAAAAATATAATTATTACTAATATAATTTTTTTTTAAATCAATATATGCATAAAAAAAAAAAACAATATGCAAAGTACATTTATAAATTATATAAATTATATAAATTATAATATAATTAAAATAATATAATTTACAAAAAATATAATTATTACTAATATAATTTTTTTTTTTAATCAATATGCATTGTACATTTTAAATATAATTTGTATCTAATAAGTTTAGCCTTCCCCCAGTTCAAAATATGAATGCATAATTTATTTAATTTTATATTGTACTTCACTGCCTGTCGTTTGGCACTGCGAACAACTAGTTTAATTATGAGTTAGACTGAGCTAACTAAATCGGGATTTAGCGTTAAACACCCAATGGGAGAAGGCAGTAATCGCCACCAGGCACTAGGCAGTCAGCAATTTGGAAAACAACCTCAATCACAACAAAATTGCGTGCCGAAAACATTTCATGTTGGGGCGTAAAAGAGCGCGGGCGCCAAACTGGCTGCTTGGGCCAATGAACTTGCAGCGGACGCAGCGCAAGAGCGCGTGGAGGCGGCGCACAGCGGGCAGAGCCAGTGGGAGAGGCGCGGCAGCGTCATGATCCGTTCCCAATGTGAAAGCGAATTGGTTAACTTTAATTAGTTTAATTACAAAACAAAAACAAAAACTACATATAAATGTATATATATGTATGTATGCTTATGTATTAGTGTGTGCGTCCAACTATCCATTAGCCAAAGCGAGTAGCCAACTGAATGTGCACTTTGCATTCATATGCCGCCAATTGACGCTGAACGACATCAAGCAACGAAACAATTACCATTTAATTGCGGCCGGACTCTCCCCCTCTCCATCTCTTTCACTCACCCCCTTTCTTTTTCTTTGCTTTCCTCTGCTAACTGTCTCTCTCCCTCTCTCTCCCTCTCTGTCTCTCTTTCTTGCAGTTGAGCACATGTGAGGCGCAATCGCAGCCTCGCATGAGCCGTCGACCCATAGCAAAGACAAATGTGGAGGAGTCCAGTGAGCGCAGCGCTGTGCCCGATCAGCTGGCTCAGGCCGCAGCTCGTGTCGACGGACATGGACGCAACTATCCAAGACGTGGAGCTCCAATGCATACCAGGACCAAGGAATCAAACACAGGTGAATGGGACATCCATAGCTAAGATTCACTATTCCTGCTCAATTGGAAATCAATAAAACTTAGTCCGTCATTGCGTATGCTCACTGTAGCTACCAAGAAACTATACTACTCCAAATGGCAGTAAACTAAGACCAATTGCTCATCTCTAATGCCTAACCTGCCCCTCTCGCTCGCTCTCTTTCTCTCACTCAGACTACAACTATGGCCAACTGGAGCTGAATCTGATACGACCCGAGCATGAGACGTCTTCATTGCCACCGCAGAGCAAGCTCAATGCTTACTACTCCAGCAGCGGCCTGAGCACAACCGCCGAGTCCGCTGGAGCTGCCGCTGCTGATGTGAAGCACGAGAAGACGGCCATGCTGGAGGACTCGGAGACGGCAGCCGAGTACGTGGCCAATGCCATGAAGAGGGCCTATGGCTCAAGGTTCAAGGAGCAGCAGACGGCACTGCGCACTGCGGCCAATACACAACGTCCCTATATTCCCAGCTCCAGTTCCAGTTTCAGCTCCAGCTTCGACCAGCAGCAGCAACAGCAACAGCAGCAGCAGCAGCAACAACAGCAGCAGCAACAGCAGCAGCAGCAGCAGCAGCAGCAGTTGCTGCACCAACAACATCAGCAGAAACAGGAGCAGAATCAAGCCAAGGCTCAGGCACAAGCTCAAGCGCAGGCGGCGCTGCTGGAGGCGCAGATGCAGGCGGAGCTGCAGGCACAGCTTGTGCAGCAGCAGGCGCTGCTCCTAGCCGAACAGCAGCAACAACAGCAACACCAGCAGCAACAGCAGCAGCAGCAGCAGCCGCAACAGCAACAGCAGCAACAACAACAGCTGCAGTCACATCCACACTCTGTCGAATCCGCATCCAGTGAATCCTCTCCAGCCGCTCCAGCGCCCGTCTATGAGAAGGAGTCGGTGCCACGCAACTATGAGCTGTACGAGACAGCCAGCCAGGCCGCGCCCTCTGGCGGCGATATCGAGCGACTCTATCGCACAAAGTACTACAGCTATCCAGCACCGCAGCCGCAGCAGCCACAGCAGGTGTATCGCACGCTGGAGGACGAGGCGGAGGAGAAGGTGCGACTCTCGGCATCCACTGAAATCCCCAAGGCTGAGATCATGAAGCAAATTGAAAAGTCCGTCATCAAGTACATGAAGGAGCTGGAGGCCGAGGGCAAGATCATAACCACACCGCAGGAGCTAGCACCACCAGCCACAAAGACCTACTACAAGCTGCTGTCGCTGCCCAGTTCCAGTGGCTCCAGTGGCTCCAGCTCCTCGGGCAGCTCAATTGCCAATGAGGAGAAGCGCTACAGCAGCAGCACCGTGCGGCCCAAGTACAGCAGCCCGCCATCAACGAGCCAGGGTCGTCAGCCGTCGCAGTCCATGCAACAGCAGCAGCATGGTCAATATCATGGCCAGCACCATCAGGTGGTCAAGCAAAGCTCACATGGACTGACCAAGGCGCAGCGCTACCAATCCGAAACGGAAACGGCCTACCAGGCGCCAGAGATTGCCGCCGACTCGCTGGCTCCGAACGTGGAGTTCATCTATAAGATCAAGACGCGGGCGCCACTGCAGACGGCCACCGTGAAGACCGTATCGAAGCCCTATACCCTGCCGCTGAAGAGCAGCGCGGAGCACTTCGATCATGGCGCAGCGCTCAAGAACATCGAGGAGTTCGACCTGTCGCATGTGGTCACAACGCCAGAGCGGGAGCAGGAGGAGCAGCGGGTCACGAGCAAGCCACACAAGCTGTACTTCAACTCGGAGATCTACCACGACATCAACTCGTTGCCCTACAAGGGAGAGAAGCTGCGCGGCAGCGGCAGCGGCAGCGGCAGCAGCGCCAGCAGCCTCCACGCCATTCAGGCTCAAGAGTATCGGCACAAGCTGAAGGCAGCGGCCGATCTGCATGGGGACTACAAGGGCTACTCGGGCTACTTTGCGGAGCCGGGCGCCAGCAGTCTGGAGCTGGGCGAGAAGAGCCGAGAGCCGCCCAGCGGCATTGGCAGTGATGGCAGCGAGGAAGGCTATCCGCTGCCCTACCAGTACGTGCTGAAGAAGGAGCCGCTGTCCTCCAAGTACGAGGAGGAGCGCGAGAGCTGGGAGCAATCGATGCGCCTGGCCCATGGCAAGCCCAGCAGCAGCGGCGGCTACAAGGCCAGCGGCAGCAGCAGCAGCTCGACCAGCCTGGAGTACGACAGCTACAGTCCCAAGTTCAACAACAATCCGGAGGGCTATGGCTATCAGCACACATACAAGACGCAGCTGGTCCGCGGTGCCGGCTCAGCCAGCTCGGGCAGCAGCTCGGCTGGCAAGCGCGGCAAGCGAGGTGGTGCCCCACATCCTGGAGGCGCTGGCGGTGTGCCCGGCAAGAAACTGTTGCGCAGCAATGCCGGCTCCTCTGGCCTCGGCGGCACAATTGGCGTGAACGGCAAGCTGGTCAAGGATCTGGAGGCCAATCTGGCGCTTCGACCGCCCCCCAAGAAATAGTCTGTTATTTAGTATATTATATGAGCAATTGTTTTTAATACCGCAAAGATATGCCGTTGTTTTTTATTTTTTTATTTTAATTTTAATTTTATGTTTTTTTTTTTTTTTGGTTAGTTATTTATAGTTTGCTATTACAAATTATTTATTTAATAGCCAGGTGCTGATCGTGCGGGGGCGGGGTAGCAGACAGGGGTTGCAGCTGGTAGAAAAACAGTTGCACCAAGGTAGAAAAAGAGAATTGAATAAACAAAATATATACATATATATATAATATATAAAAGCTTTGACTAACTGATTGAAGCAAAACTAGCGCAAAAGCTAGCGTTGGAAGCGTATGCGCACCAAAAGCTCCACACTAGCAACTTTGGGAGATATTTATATAGCAAAAGCTTTAAAAGCTAAACTTAAGCTAAGAACGCCATTGTGAAGTTGCAGCATGTTTTAGCTAACCTTTAAAGACTTTTTTTAATTTTAGCTAACTGCACTTTAAGCGCTGCAGCGCTAAAAGCTGCTGAAAAGCCACCTGAGCAAATAGACCATAAAAGTTGCTTAGATGAGGAAAAAAGCTAAGTTGAGATTTAGCTCTAGTTAAGCTTTAAGGGAAAGCTGCAGAGTACAAAAGCTGCTGCTCTGCGTGAGCTCATTAAAAGCTCATTAAGCAAATATACTTTAAAAATAAAACCGCTTTAAATTAGCTAAAACTCTGCCTAACTTACCAAACTTCTTTAAAAATAACTGAGGCACAGCTAGGGAACACTGAGAATTGATAATTTATGATGTATGACTCCTATACAGAAATGCATTTCAGATATTACTAATGATATGGAAATGTGTCTTAATTTCATTCTTTATATATATATTATATCATTGAACTATTAGTTTTATTTATTTTCTATTATATTTAGTCACATTTCAACAACAAATGCTGAAATCATTCAATCATTCAATCTGAAATCCAAGTTTGGGCTTTGTAAACCTATTTAGAGTCATGACATATTCCTACGCATCAAGTAAGTAAAACTCTCTTGTATTTAATAATACTCTGGGCAAAATTTTATTTCACAAATAGTAGAATTATGTATAAAAAACAAAGCCTTAAAATTAAGTACATAATCAAGTATCCGATTGGCTCTCATCTGATAAGAGAAAACATTTAAAATTATTTGGCAAAAAAAAAAAAATTGAATTTATGCAGAGAGTTTAGCGAGGTCACGCCTACTCGTGGTGCGAGTAGTGCTCGTAGTGCTCGGAATGATGCACTGGCTCCTCGTAGTGGCCGTGCTCGTGCACATGCGATTCGCTGTGGCTCTCCAGCACCAGGCCGTGGTTGTGATTGTGCTCGGTCTTGGGGTGGAGGATCTTCAACTTCTGCTTGGTGCCGCCGATCTCGATGGGCTTCTTGATCAGGTGCTGATCCTCGTGCTTGATGTAGACGGGAACCGCATGATAATGATGGAATTTGACGCTCTGATGCGATGTGGCGTGCTTATGATCCACCTCATGGTGCACCTCGGTCTCCTCGTGCTGCGGCTCGTATTTGGCGTGCTCCTCATGCTCGTAATCGTGAATTTTCAGCGCGCTGCCAAGAGCCAACAGAGCCAGGCACGGAAGCTAAGCCAAAGACACACGCAACAACAACAACAACATGAAATTAATAACGGCATTGATTTGCTAGCAATTCGGGTATAACACAAGGATGACAGAATTCATAAATTTGGTATTTTCTTATATAATCCTTTTTCATGAGATCCTTGAATTATTTTTATATTTAATATGAAATTATTTTGGCTTACAGCAAATTTCAGCATTTTGTTTGTTTTTTTTCGGCTTTACAAAAACACGCACAGAACAAAAATGAAAACACAAATTTTCCAAAATTTTACACACGAAAAAAAAATAGAGTTTTAAAGTTTCGTTTGGGTGGTGCTGGCTGGAGTTGTGGACTCCTTGACGTTGCTGAGCTGAATGTGGCTTAGCCGTTGAGACCAGATTCGATTTATACCCGAAGAAATGATGTGTGCACACCGATGCGAACTGGCTGCGCGCTAGTGAAATGTGCAACACAAGCAACAACCAACAACCAACAGGCAACAAGCAGCATGCAACAACCATGACAACAATTGAGTAGCTGCGGCAACGAACTTCAAAGCAACAACGAACGAAATTGAAGTCAGAGTCGATGTCGTTAATGGCATATAAGATAAGTTGTCTTTGGCTGTTTTCGTTGTTGTTGTTGTTGTTGTTGTGCACACTCACACTCACTCACATACACATACACACATGCGTGCGAAAGTCATACAATTAAAAGTTATTACGTATACGCCGCTTAGACGTCACGTGAAGCAGGAGATTTTCCATCAAAAGCCTGTTGTCATTAGTGTGCGTGTGTTTTGTGTGTGTGTGTGTGTGTGTGTGTGGCAGGTTAACCACCGCCGCCAACACTAACCGGTCGAGCGGTGCACAAATATGTAATGCAAGTGCAAGGTAATTGAACAAAATATACAACAACAACAACAAAATAATAATAATGATAATAGCCAAACATACGATAACGGTTAGCAAAAGAAAGAAAATCAACAAAGACATAAATATCAAATAACATTAATAAATTAAATCGAAAATAGTATAAATTGCGCTAATTAGTAATATTGATTGACATCGATACAGCCACAAAATTTAAATCCCGTCTGGGACTTTCCGCACGCTGGGAAACGAGTCCGTTCGGCATCTTGCTTTGCTGACCGATAATCTTCCTGGTCACATTAGCCAGTCAAAGATATATGTATATGTATCAGCTCATTCTGCTAGCAACAGCCAATTGTAACAATTGTTGCAAGTCTCGTCGTATTGCTTCCTCATTCGTTCATCTAGCCACACCCAAAGCAGCTCAAATGTAAATGTGAAATTTTCGAATGCTTAAGAAATTGGTGTACGATCGACAGACGCTAATTATGGCGAGGGCTTTGATGTTTGAATACGTTAAACAGCAGGCACTGCAATACGCTGCAGCTTAATGTGAATCTGTGGAAGGGCTTGGTAGTGAAAGGTTCAAAATGCCTAATGACTCCACATTTACTTGCAAATAAATGATTCGATGTTTATGTAAATGCTTGCCCAATCGGTCCGTTATGTTCCAATTATCGTTTAAATGCACATTAAATACAAGTTATAGCAATTAAAATGCACTTCGATTAGATAATCAAGCAGTGAATGGCCGTATTTGGCGCAGGAAGCTTTAAGTTGCGAAAATTTCCCCAAATAACAAATGCAAAATTTACAAAAAATAAAAAATAAAAAAATTTTATATGTATATATGTATAGAAAAAAACACGTATAAAAATGTAGACTCAAACCGAAGCTTAGGCCCCCTACAGCACTGTTAACTGTTTTCCAAATGGCGCTGCTGTCACTTTTTACTCTTACAATGCCTTATGTGCGCAGTAGTTTGAATTTCTTTGGGTTAGTATGCTTCCAACAGCCAAATCAGCAACGCCGTGTGCAGAGCAAAAGTAAAAGTAAACTACATTTCTGCACGGTGGGGCCAACCAATTTGCATAACAAGCTGTGGCCACTATGGCCAAACTCGATTGATGCAAGCACCATATTAATTAATAATTTAATAAGCGCTAAAACGTTTATATAACTTCAATCCTCTTCCCATATCGCAGGAAGTCGGTAAATTTAAATTTAAAAGCCGTTATCAAGAGCTGCCACCTGTTTGTATGCGTTATCGACTATCCGATTAAATTGATCAGCTGTGAAAAACGACGAAGTACATTAGTGATGAGCTGCATAAAGTGTAAATGTTCAGTTCCTGGTTTGACTGGTTCTCTGCTCCCAAAGGAGTGCAGTGACAGCCGAAAGGAAACAAATTACTGCCAATGTTGAGCATCTTTAATTAGTTATAAAAGAGAAGCAGAATGGCATCAAAGACAAATCATGTGAATTAAGATATAAATTCCCAGGTAATGACCAATGTTGCCCAAAGTATATATGTATATATATATATATATATATGCTCAAGCAATAATTCAAGCAGCTTAAGTACCATATGAAAAAATATACTTTCTAGTTTAGTTTAATATAGCAACCCTACTAATTACTATTAAATTAAAAATCACTGACTTTTAACTTTAAGACAAATTTTTTAATATTTGAAAAGCCAGCTATAAGAAACAGTAATTAATCGCTTTGGTGACAACTGCGCCAGTTCTATCGATATAGCGCGCGACATCTGAAATGTAACTGTAAATTGTTTTGCATAAGTTTTGCCATGGATTTAGGCGACGCTAATATTCGAGCTTTGCGCGTATTGGGCGAAGGCTCGTTTGGGCGCGTCTTCTTATGCGTAGAGCGCAATGGCCCCAAAGAACGTAAAGTATGCGTAAAACGCATTATTATGCGAAATCCCAAGAATCAGCTACGTCTCATCAAAGAGGAGGTAATGCACAAACATACATGCATATACATGTGTATGTATGTATGTACATGTAAATATGTTGTTGAGTAAAATGACAAACTGTGCTCTTTAGATTTACATCATCTCGCAGTTGCGGCATCCGCATATAGTGCAGTTCATACGCTCCTTCATGCACTCCGGCACAGTAAACATTGTGATGGAATACGCACCAAATGGCACCATTCGCGATGTCATCCACACAGTTAATCAGTCAAATGGACGATTGGGCGAACGGCGACTGTTGCATTATTTGTCCGACATGATCTTGGGCTTGGAGTATCTGCACATACGACACGTCATTCATCGGGACATCAAGCCGGAGAACATGCTGCTGGATGCCAATGATCGCGTTAAATATGCCGACTTTGGCATTTCCAATGTGCATGTGCCCGCCAGCCAACAGCCCTGGCAGGTGATCGGCACACCGCTCTATATGGCGCCCGAGATCATGTGTGGCGCCAAATGTGACTTCAAGTCGGATATCTGGTCGCTGGGCCTGGTGCTGTACGAGCTGTGCCTAGGCCGCAATCCCTTCCAGTCCCTGCTCCGGCCAACGGATCCCTTCGAGCAAGTGCGCTGTGTTGTCAAAGTCATGGCACAGCCCAGACTGGACTGCCAAGTGATCCGGCGACGCTACAAGCCCATTTGGGCACGTCTCTGCGAACTAATGGTTGTCTACAAGCCAGAGCAGCGAATTTGCCTGCCCGATTTGATCTGCATTGACCCATGCATTACGCAGATGATTTATTCGCGATACTTCAATTATGACTATTAGGAATAATACTTTAATATCAATATTGTAACTGTAACCAATTTCTGTATTAATTTATAGTTCGAGTTTGCATGCTGTGATTGCAATTCGTGTTCAAAGACATTTTATTACTAATTCTTAGCTCGTAATATTTTACATGCTATAAGCAATATATTTTAACCGTAGTCTAACCCTACGCCTTCTTTTTCTGTTGCCCCATCTTCATTTTGAGACTCTTCACCAGGGCGCGACGCTCAAGCTCTTGCTTGGAACGCTTCTTGTCTGGCTCCGGCTCGGGCTCCTGCTCTTTCTGCTCGGTCTGGGCGTGGCGCCGTTTCAGCTTCTCGCCAATCAGCTGCTGCATGCCTTTGGTAGGCTTGTAGTTGGAGTGCGTAGGATCAATGTTGAACTCGTGCGACTTGTAGATGGCATTGAAGCGCTCATCATTCAGATTGACTTGGAAGTTATCCTCCTCCTGCTGCTTGCCCTCGCCGGACTTTGATTTCTTCAGTTGCTTGCGTCGCTTGCGCTTGCTGCTGCTGTTGGTGGCCTGCTCCTCCTTTAGGATTTTGGCCAGACTGAAGTGCTGCTTTGGCTGCTGGTCACCTTCGTCATCATCGTCCAGCAACAGCGCCAGTTGCGCCTCTGACTCCGCTTCCGCATCGTTCGGTGTTGCTTTCTTATTCTTTTGCTTCTTCGACTTGGCGTTTTTACTCTGCTTGGGCTTCTCGTACTCACCGCTGGCAAACTCCTCCGCAAAGTATGAATCATTCATATCAATACCATCGGGAATGGAGTCATCGCTGCTCTCTGCCGCATCGGGATCAATGCCCTTGAGTTCCAGTTGCTTACGACGGCGCAGCTCCTTACGACGCTTGTTCTTCTCGCTACGCTTCTGCAGTACCTTTTCAATGGGTGTCAGTGGTACTATGGTGCTGCAACTTGCTGGTTCTTTGGTCTTGTTATCCTCGGGCGCCTCAATATTCCAGGACATTTCCATTTCATAGCTTTTCTCCTTCGACTTCTGCTCCTGAGCGTTGATTTCAGCCAGCAGACTTTTATACTTTTCGATGCGCTCCTTTTGCTTGAGACCCTTAGCTGGCTTCTTGGCAGCAGGAGTTTCCTTTGTGGTCTGTTCGTCATCAATCTCTTTCTTCTTCGAATCCACGTCCTTTTCCTCTTCCTCTTCTTCTTCCTCTTCTTCTTCATCCTCGTCACTGCTGTAGGCAACAATCTTGCGCAGCTCCTTGTCGTTCAACTGATCGACCTTGCCGCTAGACAGCTTGTCGCCCAGCTCACGCCTGTCCAGTGCCGTCTCATCCCAAGTGAGATCCACTTTTGCCTGCTGCAGCGCCGTTGTGGTAAACTGTCTTGGTTTATAGCTGTTCGCATCCGGCAGCTCGTAGCACTCGTCCGTAGGCATGTCCTCAGAGAAGTCCGTGTCGTCTGGTATAAAACGCAGATCCACACGCGTCGCTGAGCTCTCATACTCAATTCCATCGCACTCCTGGTACACCTTGTCAGCAGTGGCGGCGCTGTCGCACTCAACGACGGCGTAGTAATAGCGCAAGCGATTCAGCTGATATTGACGCAGCTTC